AATTTTAGCCATTCTAGGGAGTGTGGTTTTTTTTTTTTTTTTTTTTTTTTTTTTTTTTGTGGGACCCTCGCCGGTGGCCGGGGAACGAACTGGCCCTGCAGAGGCTGCAGGCAGCCTCGCAGCCCAGCGCTCAACCACTGCACCACCAGGGGAGGCCCCATTCTAGGGAGTATTTATGATATTTCATTGAGAGTTTAATTTGCGTTAGTCATTAGGACACTGATGTTGGATGTCATTCATGAGCTTGTTGGTTATTCATGTGTCTTTGGTGGAGTGTTTTTCCAAGTCTACCCATTTTTATTAAATTGTTTATCATATAATTGAGTTGTATGAGCTCTTCAAGCAAGTTCTGTTTTATATATATATATATATATATATATATATAGTGACTATTTTAATATATAACTCAACTTTTAAATACATTCATAGTTTCTTTTGAAGATTTTATTTTTGGTAAAATCTAAAATCTAATTACCAACTTATTCTTTTATGGTCATTACCTTTTGCCTGTCGTGGGTTTTCTTCCAGTATGGTGCTCTCAAACAGAAATATTGCAGGAGCCATTTATGTAATTTTAAGTTTTCTAATAATAAACAGGTGAAGTTTATTTAGATTATTCAACTTAAACCAGTATATACAAAATGTTATTTCAACATGTAATCAATATAATAATTAATGAGATATATTACATTATTCTTTAATCCTAAGTCTTTGGAAACTAGAATATAGTTTATACTTACAGAACACTTCAGTTTGGACTGGCCACATTTCAAATGCTCAGTAGCATGGCTAGTGGTTACCATATTGGACAGTGCAGTTCCAGAACTGTTATCATTCTTAAATTTATTTAGATTTGTCATATCATTTGATTTTACTTTTTTCTATGGTGTGAGTACAAATATAGCTCTTTTTTTTCTCCACTTAGGTAGTTCCCACAATATTTTCCCCCATGTGGTATTGTGTTTTACCTCTTGTCAAAAATCAATAGATCATAGATGTGGGTCTATTTCTCAACTCAGTGTACTGTTCCATTTTTCCTTGTGCCAGTGCCATCCTGTCTTGATTATTATAACAACCTTAAAATCAGATAGTTAAGTCTTCTAGTTTCATTCATCTTTTTCAGTTTTGTTTTTGTAGGCTTTTTCATTTCCATATAAAATTTAGAATCATAGAATCCACTTATCAATTTCCACAATGACTTTACCCATTATAGAATTTTGAAAGAGTCCCTCCCCAAATATGTGTATGTGCTCATATCAGAAATTGTGAATTTTACCTTATTTGGGGAAAAAATTCTTTGCAGGTGTAATTACCATTCTTGAGATGAGATTACACCAAGTTGGTCAGGTGCATACTCATCTAACGAAAGCTTCCTCGTAAGATAGACACACACAGGAAAAAACATATGACACGATACAGAGGAGAAGGTGATGTGAAAATGGTGGCAGGCTCAGAGTGATGTGGCCAGAAGCCAAGGAAGCCAAAGAATGCCAACATCTACCCAGAGCTGAAGGTAAGAAGGGATTCTCCTCAAGAGCCACTAGAGGGAGTGAAGCCCTTGCTGACACTTTATTTCGGACTTCTGGCCTCAAGGACTGTGAGAGAATACATTTCTTGTTTTAGTTACAAATTTGTGGGCATTTATTGCCGGCAGCCCTAAGAAACAGATATACCCATCAAGTCAGAGAAATTCCATTCTTTTCCTAGTTTGTTGTTTTGTTTTTCAAGAATGGGTATCAGATCTTATCAAGTACCTTTTCTATATCAATTGAAAATTTTTCCCTGCTATTTTGGTGATGTGATCATAATGTGTATAAACTGCTTGCCTTGTATTCAATTTAAATCTGTCATAGCAGTTACCCCTAAAACACCTAATGGTGAAATTGTTGGTTCCTCACATGGGTGAAATTGTAAATATGACAACATGAATCTTTTTGCTTTATATTGCTTAGGGAATTTTGAGAAGTCATTGAAGTCTATAGAACAAAACAGTGTCTCAAAATACTTACAAACAATGATCACAGAATTTCTCTTGTGTGGTTCTTTATAACAGGAGACCACACTGGTAACCCGCAGGTCCAGGCTGACCTTAAGGGATACTTCATTTGGCCTCCATAATGTGTGCAAAGTGAGGAAATTTTATATTGAAAAACTAAATAGCATATTTATCTAAAAATTTTACAGGCTTGGCAACACTGCCCTGAATTCGAGCATGGCAGCAACTGCTTGAGCTATACAGCACATGCCCTTTTCATAAAGAGTGTTCTTTTCACTTCCCACAATCCAATTCCTCTTTGTTTTAAATTTCCTAGAGATTTGGGTTTGCAGCTTCTGCTCTTAAACCTATGTGGGGGCCCATTGTAATGCCAGTCATTGGAAGAAGACTTAGGGTACAGGAGGGTGTCACCTTCCAAGTCAGCATAGACCTGTTCAAAGAGAACTGTGTGGAAATAATGTAACCCATAAAAAGGATTTTCATGTAACTCATCCCCAATGAGAGAGACAGAATAATTAACTAACTTTTGGATAAAGATGGCACAAGAAGCACTAAAAAATAAAAGTACCATAACCCATGCAAAGAAAAGCAAGCAAGAGGAGGGAAAAAAATCTGCAGCCAAAGAAAGAAGCAGCTTTATAATGCAAAATGTGAGAATAGCAGACACCAAAAATTCTGATGATGCATGCTGTAGCTCCAATCATCCCTGTCCCCTGTAAGACATGCTGAGGAAAAAGATGATCAGACCAGATCCTGAGAATTTTCACAAATGTCCTTCAACTGGGGAGGTGGTTAGTGACGGCCTTGTGAAATGTCAACGAACCTTTACATACCACCGTTGGATCTTGCCAGGAGAAGGAAAGTTGGCTACCTTCTAGAGTACTATGCTGAATCGGGGAAATGATTCAATTCATAGGCACGGAAAGCTCTCTTGGCTGGTCTGAAGTTGGACTGGAGAGACCTTAAAGGAGTATCAGAAGTGACAGCTGAGTTTCCCCAATAAGCGGTCTACCTAGTCTCAAGCTGAGTTCTCCCACCATTTCCCTCCCCTCATCCTAAAGCCCTCCGATCACAGAAAAAGTAGATAAAAACAATATTCAAGCTTACCACTGAAGCTCAGTATAGGCAAGAGAGGTCTCAGATGAAGAGGAACATGCACCAGGAATTCATCCTTAGCATATTAGTGTAAATACAAGCTCTGTTAACTTGTAAGGGTAAAATAAAAGATATGACATGGCTACTATGTAAATATGTTATAACATGGGAGGTGGGAGTGAGAAGCAAAGAAATACCTTGTAGAAGACAAATGAAGAACCAAGTCTGGAGGAAAATATGACCAAGGAACAGGAATTTGTGTTACTTATATGTGCTTCACTCTACAGAAAAACATTAAGAATGCAGATCCTTTAAAGCAACTCAAGGACAGTATAAGGTGAGAAGGTGATGAAGAGGAAAATTGCATAGTTAAGAAAATTGAGTCAAAACATGATTTAAAAATCCAATAATCTAAAGTAGCGAACAGACAGTTTTTGAGAGAAGGCGTACATGCAAATCAAAAGAAGAGGGATATGGAAAACAAAGATCAAATATAAGAATAGCTGGTGACTTTGGAGTAGGAAATTCAACCAATGAAAGACAAATTTATTCAGATATTGAAGTTTTCTTATACTAAGAAAAGAATGGAATCCATAAATGAAACCTATACTATATACTGGGTTTAAAAAAAAAAAAAACTGATAACAGAATAACTGACAGGAGATATAGCACAGATAAGCACAGGAAGGGTAAAATTTATGTCCTATCCTTTACTGATAATCAGTCATCCAAGCAGAAAAATCACCTTCCAGGGAAAAATCACATGGGATTACTATCTCTCCACAGAAATCTATGACGTCAAAAAGCAGTAAGACAATTGCTTCTTGTTAGTTTTTGAAGGAGGGTGTGAATCCAAAATATCTACCCAACTCAATTTTTATTTCTATATGGAGATAAAATGCAGACAAAACATTAAGGTACTCCTTAAGAAAACTGTTTGAAAAAGAGGGGTCCATCAAGAAATAGATAAAAATAAAAAAATGTAGGAAAGGATACCTTATGAACATTGTATTCATTTAAATATTGACTCAAGAGCGAACATCTGGACGACTAAGATTCAGGCGCAATTGTAAGTGTTCTGAGTGCCAGGAAGCCAAAAGTAACATAAGCAATGGAAATTGGGAGGTTGCGGTGCAAGTGGGTGGAAGTGTAAAAAGCTAACAACTTCATCTTTCAGAGCTAAGAGACTGTCTGAAATAATGTAGTGAGCCCCTTCTAGCTTTGTTAGTCTTTTCCCTCCGTGTGCCTAGACCTCTTTCAGGCATGCATATGTTGCAGGCGAGAGAGCAGCCACTAGAGATTCCCTTCAGTTTCTTTTTCTCCAATCCAGCTAACATTTACATTTTTTAAATTAAAGCCTACAGCGTGCTCCACACCTCTAAAAGTGTCTCCATCCACTCTTTTCTGTGCCTCGGTCTGTTGATCTCCACAACGGGGAGTGCCACCCACCGCCCCAGGGTGGTCTCGAGGATTGCATGTACCTGCAAAGTGCTTAGCACGGTGCCGGGCTCACAATTAGTGGTCGCATTTAGGCTGCCATGATTTCACCGCGGCACGAATGGGAGGTAAGGCAGTTTGGCCTATTGCAGCGTTCTCCTAGCATCTGTCGTGTTTCTCATTTATGATTTGGCTCGGGGCGGTTCATCCTGCTGGTGACTTCAGCGAACAGTCCCCGCTCGGGGCCGGGGCTCCGGGCCGCTCCGGGGCTACCTGTGCCAGCCCTGCACCTGGGCGACCTTGGCTGAGCCCACACGGATGACTCAGTCGGCCCGGCGTCTGGACGCCTGTCCTCTTCCTCCGCCCAGGCCGCCGACCCCCTGGCTCCCCAGCGGGGCCTCCTCCTGCCACGTGACGCCCCCGCTAGGGGCCCCAGCGCCCTCCTCGCGGACGCGCCGTTCCGGCTCCCGGGCTCCGCCTGTGCGCGGCCTCCTCGGCGCAGCCATCCTCGCGGCTGCCGAGGGCGGCAAAGCCCACGGCATCTGCCATTTGTCACTCAGCCTGTCGGGACCGCCCCGAGCCCTGATTTAGACCCGTCTGGGGCGTCTTCTGGCCTCACTCGCCCGGCGGGCGGACGGACGGACGGACGGGGCGGCTCTCCTCCCTGCCCGGCGGACAGCGGGCCTGGGCGCGCGGGGCGCTTCCCCGGTTGCCGTCATGGCCGCGGAGGCGGCACGCCCGAGCGGCCGCGCCTGAGTTCCGGGGGGCTCTGGACCCCGCAGGGTAGGTGGCGGGGGGCCGGCGGCCCGGCTCGGGGGGCCGGGGGGCCGGCGGCGGCGGAGCGGGGCGCGCGGGCGGGCGGCGTTGCCGCGGAGCGGGCGCCGTCCCGGGCCGTGCCGCGCGGGGAGGGTGTGCCGGTGCCGGTGCCGGTGCCGCGCCGGGGACGTGCCGGCTCCGGGGCTCGGGACCCAGTGCGAAACTCCGGGGAATTGTCACCCGCCGAGCCGAGCCGACTCGCACCCAATTTCCCCCGGCTGGCCGCCGTGGATGCTCCTCCGGGGAGCGTTCGCGGACGGTGGAGATGCAGAGAAAAGACGCGGGTTTTGAAAGCGGCCGCTCTAACCTCGCCAAAAGGCCAAAGGGGGGAAAAAAAAGTCTTGAAAGTAATAATAGGACTCCACGCAAAAGGTTTGCATTCGCATCATTGTGGAAAACGGGACGGGTTTTCCACTTTCGGGGCGCTTCGCTGGTAGACTCCGAAAACTATTTTGTGATGTGGGCTGCTGAAATTTCTTAGATCAGGATAATTGATAGTGCAACTCCGGGTATTTGGTCTCAGCATCAAACTTGAACGGTGGTGGGAATTTTTGCTTTTTCATCCAGATACTCTTGTAATATGGACTTTTTTTTTTTTCCAACAGATGTGTTACTTTTATGTTTTAGGAAACCAATAAAAATTAAAAATAGAAATACTCAGCGTAGGTTCTCCTTTTTCCAGGAATCCTTTCCTAACCCCTCCCTCCCCAGGCAGCATCAGAGCCCCCTCAATCCCCCGTTAGCTTTCTGGGGGCCTCACGGAGGTCCTGATCCCTTCTGCTACCCCCCCCCTCCACCCTAGCGTATTAGCCCAGCGGTCTCGCCGAGAGTCCAGGGGATACTTAACACATGGTGTGTGATTAATACTGCTTAATGAAGGAAGGAAAAGATAAGACGATCTGATTTTCATGGTTTTAGCTCTAGAAGTATCGAGTGGTAAATTTATATATGCTGAGGTAAGAGTACTTATTTATAAGGTAATTTTCTAGAAAAATTGATATTTGATGTCCGTGTTCCATTCCTAGATATTATAGCCTCTAGAGCTGTGTTTTTCAAAGTTTGAAGTCCATTTTACTGGGCTGTGACACCACCTCGGTGGATAATAATCAGAAAATGTAAATCATGAAGCAACAGAATAGAAAAGAGCAGACTGTGTATCAGATCATAGGGTATTTGCTTCGTGAAACTTTTTTTTTTCTGTTTTATACACACACAGATGTGTGTCATGATGGAAAACGTCATTCTTTAGTATGAGTCATGGTCAAAAAAGTTTGAAAGCCACTGCCCTAGATAATTTTTCATACATATACAGAAGCAGACGTGTACAAGGTCTGCTGCAGTGTTACTTGTAATACCCTAAAGGTGGAAGCAACCTTCATGTCCATCTGAAGGAGAAAGGTAAATTATTATCTAGTCATAAAATACAACCCACCCTGTAGAGCGGTGAATAGAGTAGTTCTGTTTTAAAACAAATAGGTCTCAATAATATTGAGCGCCCCCCCCCCAAAAAAAAAAGGCAAGTTGCTAAAGAGTACTATGATATCATCTATGTGAAATTCAGAACCTGGTGAAATAAAGCTTTTCTCCAGGGATGCAGACAATCATTAAAAGTATTAAAGAAAAAAATGCCATAAAAGCCAAGCTAGTGGTCACCTCCTGGGGGAGAAAGATGGGGCTGTGAAGGGGCTTGCTGATGACTTTTGAGATGCTGTAAATGCTTTATCTCCAGATGTGGCTATGGATGTTTATTTGATAACTCTTGCAAAATGATACATAGAAGGTTTGTGGGTTACATTTTCCCAAAATATATAGTAAGATACGGGCGTCAAAAAATAATGAAGCCCTAAGCCAAGGCTCTAGTCTATTATTCATATTTTCCAGCTGCTCTTTAGAAAAAAGTTCTAATCAGGAGAGGTCCCTAGGGAATTTAAACAATATCAGAATGTTTTATAAATTCTAGGATGGATGCATTGGTGTTCATTAAATTCTTTATATGCTTTTGTATCTTAGAAAATCTGTAACATTTTAAACACATTAGAAGATTAACATTCACAGATAATATTGGGAACACTGTGGTGTTTGCTTTCTAAAAAGTGACTTTTACACTTTTTTTTTTTTTTTTACAAACTTGGGATTACATTTTATATAGCAATTTAAGCTAAAATCAAATTTATGGAAAAAATGAAGTACTGAAATGCATATAAAAATATGAGCGATATCCATGGCTCTTCATCAAGGATTGTAAAATGCTAACACATTGTCATAATTATAATTTCAGCTCCTTCATCACTCTTGGTCCACATTTCATGTGCTCAGTGGCCTGCATGTGACTAGTGGCTATTGTATTCTATTATGTTACATTGTTTTATGTGACACTCTATCATATAGCAGAACATTTCCATCATTACAGATATTTTTTTTTTCTATTGAAAAGCACTGTTCAAGGTACAAATCCTTTGTTGCTTATAGAAACTGTAGATGATCTTTTCTCAGTGTTTTTGTGTCCAGAGATTAATCCTCTCTATCCTTAAGGAAGTATATTTTGAATTTTTTTTTCCCGAAAGTTATTTTTTATACATACGGTTTCTTAATTGACATGCATGTGTATATATTTTATTTATGACACACATATATGTAAATGCATATATTTGTTTGTTTATGATAATGCATTTTCCTTTTTCCATGTGGAGAGGTCATTATCCCAGTGCCACGTCTGTCACATACGTATTCTCAGATATGCTGGGGCTCATTTCTGGGATCTCTGCTTGAGTCATTTACCTCTATAGTACTACAGATTTTTTGTTTACTATTGCTTCAGATGTAGTACAGTTTCAGTTCTAAAAGAACGAAAACTTTTTTTCACGACGGTATTTTTTTCCTTGCCTATGAGATTTGTAGAATTTTTTCCCCTAGTTCCAAAGGTAGGTTTTGTGAGTTATCCTTTTGTTATTGATTTCTAACTCACACTGTAGTCAGCAAATGAGGGCTTTATGCCACTGATTCTTTGAAATCTGAGAATTGCTTTGTGGCCTCATGGTTAGTTTTTCAGCTATTCCTTGAATGACTGAGAAGAATATATAATCACAGATTTGAGGGCAAGGTAGGTGTGTGTGTGTGCGCGAGTGCGTGTGTGTGCGTGCGCATATGTGTCTGTATGTGCATGCATATGTGTATCTATATGTACATGTATCAGATCAAGCCTAAGAATTGTAGCACCTATCAATTACTGAGATAGGTGTAATAAAATACCAAATAAAATGATTTTTCTCAATTTCTTATAATTGTCAACTTTGCTTTATAAAAGTTTAAAGTATAGATGAGGGTGTAATTTCTGTGAATTGGACCCTTTGTCATGTTATAGTGATGGGCTATGCCTCCTCCCGCAAATGCCTGTTAACTTAAAATCCATTTTCCTTTATTACACCATAGCCACACTTTCTTTTAGTAGTTAGGTTTCACCTATTTGAAAGAGATATTCTAAGCAAATGCTAATTGTTTTTTTTCTAATCCATATTGACAATCTTTGTCCGTTAGCTGGAGCTCAACCCAATTAAATTTAATATAATTACAGATTTAATTTAGGATTAAAGTTAGAATTCTTTTTTATGTTTGTTTTTAATTCTTTTTTTCTTTTTGTTTGTTTTTTTTTCTGTTTGCCACCTCTTGGGTTTTTGTTTACTCCATTTTTTTCCCCTCCTGACTAGTGAGAAAATTGCATGTTTTTTTAGTAGTTTTCTTAAAAAAGTTTATTCTATTTTTTTCTGAAATAATTCAAGGTTACTTTCGCACTATTTATCCTCCTGGCGTACATGCTTGTTATCCGGAATTGAGCTCCATCTTAATTATTTTTTTCCTCCTATCAATATGATACTGTAATTTTTCCTTTTGAGGCATCCTTTCCTTATCATTACTTCTTGCCTCTCAGAGCTCTATTTTCTTTCTCAGATAAAAATTTGGAAGCTTCTTTATTAAGGGATCATTGATGGCAGGTTTTATCTAAAAAATGTCTTTATTTAATTCTTAAACAGTGGTTTTGTTTAATATGTAATTCCAGATTGACAGTTTCCAAGCCCTCAGTTATTCCATTGACTTTTACTTTTACTCTTACAGTTACGTCAAATAACTGTTAGTTGTTGGTAATATTTTTTTTGCCCACTTTTAAGATCTTCTTTTTTTCTCTTGTGTTCTACAGTTGTACAGCAGTATATCTAGATGCGGACATTTCCTTTATCCTGGATTTAGTGTTTCCTGTCTAAAAGGTTTGTCATTTATCAATTCTTGAAAGTTTCATCCTGTATCTCTTTCAGTGTTTTTTTTTTTTTCCTCTTCCATTTTTTTCAATTATTTAAGAACTTTGGCTAGAATTCTTTCAGACCCACTCCTTTATTATGGATGACTTTTAATCTTAACTTTTATGTTTTATTTGGTTTTTGTCCATGTTGAATTCTAGATGATTTCTTAGACTGTTTTCTAATCTTTGTATAAGTTTTTTTCTCCAAATTGAGCTATAAGTGACATACAATAAAAAAACAAGAAAAGCATATAGCTTGATAAAATTTATACATGTGTATGCCTATGTGCTCATCAGACATAAAAGATATTAAACATTTTTATCCCTGCAAAAATATCCTCCGAGCCCATCCTATCAATGCAGCCTCTCCTGTGTCCCAATCAACCACTCTTCTGATTTCTATCAACATGGATCATTTTCGAGTGTTATTGAAATTCATATAAGTGGAATCATTTAATTTATTCTTTTTTGTGTTTTGTTCGTCATAGAATTATTTGAGATCTGCCCATGTTCCATGTATTAATGGGTTTTATTTATGTATTTTTGCTTTAGAGCAAGGAATGGAAAACTATGACCTGTGGGCCAATTCCATCCCACAGCTCATTTTCATATATAAAATCTTATTGCATATAGCCGTGTCCATTCATCAAAATTTATAACTGTAACAGACCATATGATGTGCAAAGCATGAACTATTTACTAATTGGTCCTTCACAGAAAATGCTTGATGATGTCTCCTCTATAGTATTACATTATATGGATATACTACAATTTTTTCTCCATTCTCTTGTTGATGGACTTTTAAGCTGTTTTCAGTTTTTAGCTATTACAAATAAATCACTGCAAATGTTCTTGAAGTTTCCTCATATCTGTTCTTGAAGATAGCCTCATGGCTTCTTGGTTATAATACCAAGGAGATGAATCGATGGTTTGGGGTAAGTTGGTTACAATTCAATGAATATTAATGTTGAACATATTTTTATATCTTTATTGGCCATTCAGATTTCTTTTCAACATATCTCTTCATACTTTTTTTGCCTACTTTTTTAAAATTAGGTTACCCTTTTGTTAGTGACCTTTAGTTTATTATATATTCTACATAAAATGTCTAAAGTACATGTTTACAAGTATTTTCCGCTTGTCTGAAGTTTGCCTATTTTTATAATAGTGCCTTTAGATTAGCTTTATTAGATTTATTTTCATGAAGTCCAGTTCAACCATTTTTTTTTTTTTTTTTGGTGGGGAGGGAACTGGTCAGGTCAAATAAATGCTTTTTTGTACCCTGCCCACAGAGTTTTCCCTCATCGTCATTTTTGTCCACTTTCAAAGACAGCAAACATTTGCCTATGGTTTTCCCCAGATATTTTATAGTTTTAGTCTTCACAGTTGGGTCTTTGATTTATCTTCAGTTGATTTTCGTGTGGTTTGAAGTGAGGGGGTCAAGATTTATTTTCCATGTGGACAGCCAATTGCACTACACATTTATTGAAAAGACCTTTCTTTTCCCATGGAATTTCAGTGGCCTCTATTGAAAATGAATGATCATATATTTGGGTCTGTTTCTGGAATCTGTTCCATTCCACTTGAACTGTTTATCAGTTTCTCTATTAATACTGTACTTTCTTACTATAGTTCACAGTAAGTCTTGACATACAGTGGTGTGAATCCTCCACTTACTAAGAATACTTTTTACTTTTCCATCCCATGGAATAGTATGTAAAGTACTTACTTTACATTTCCATATAAATTTTAGGATAAGCCTGTGGTATGGCTCTACAGAACACTTTTTGGAAAATGGACATCTTAATAAACTCTTCCCATTTATAAACATGGTATATCTCTTCATTGAATAAATTTCTTCAGCAATTCTTAGTTTTGTTTTGTGTTTTGCAGTATTAGAGGACTTATATTATTACATTTATTTCTAGGCATTTTATTTTTTTGAGTGTTGAAAATTATATCTTTTACTCAATTTTATTTTCCAAACATCATGTAGTGTGTAGAAATACAATGGATTTTTGTATATTCGAACTTGTATTTTATGACCTTGCTAAATTCATTTTTTTGTTTTTTAAAGATTTATTTATTTATACATACAAGAACTGGAGTGTAAGCCAGAGCTGCGGGGTTGAGATGATTCACCAGAGAGAGTGGGGAGCAGAACAGGCAGATGTATTAAAATACTCTGCTGAGGGGAGCAGCGGGCGAGACAGGAGAGGTCTGCTGTACCATGTGGGTTGCTCTCTGCCTGTCCAGGGATCGAACTCATGCTATAGTGGCTGGCAATAGCTTGATAGCACTGTCTTTAACCCCTGCACCACCAGGGAGGCCCCCCTAAATTCATTTTTTAAGTTCTGGTGGTTTCTAGATTGTTGGGGATTTTCTAAATTTCACAGTCATGTCATCTGTAAAAGTTTAAATGTATCTTTCTACTATTCCTTTTTTGTTTTTTCTTGCCTTATTGTGCTGGCTGAAAACCCCAAAACAATACATGACAGTAGTGTTCAAACAGATGTCCTTGCTTCTTCCTGAGTTGAGGGTAGGCACCTCAATATTTCACTGTTAAAGATGTTAATATAAATTTTTAATAGAGGTCTTTTGCCAGATTTTGGCAAGTTCCTGCATTCTTTTCTACATTTATTAATTGGAATTCTGATTGTGGAACCAACTGCCTGGGTTCAATTCCTAGTTCTACTTCTTCCTTCCCCATACAGTGTAATCTAATATAAAATGTAGGTAACAAGAGTCTATCATAGAATATTATTGAGAGGATTAATATAGAGAAAGGGCTAAGAATTGTGCATAGCCCCTAGGAAGTACTCATTTTTTATTAATATGGTAGATTATTTTAATTTTAATAATTATATAAATTCAATTGTTAAATTATCTTTTGGGTACCTCACATATTTTTATATGATTTGGATTTAGCTTACTTTTAATTTTTTTCATGTAATATTCTCTAGTCATACCGTGGCTATTCTTTTGCCATAGCAAAAGGCATACTAATGAGTGATAGATTCCTAAAAAAAAAAAATTTCGCAAGAGCTTAGCAACTGTGGTGGCAACATTCCCAGCTTTCTAGGGCGATTTCTATCTGAGTCTTTTGGTAGAGATAGAGATAGCTCTTGCACATGAAATCTTTTTTAAATATCGAATTGAGCAAATTCAGAACTTGGCATATATTGTGAGAAATGGCCACTCAGCAGGAAAGAGAAATGTTTTTACCTTTTGTACATATTTCACCTCAAATGTTTTAGTATTTGTGGAGGTTTCAATAGTTGCAGTATTTTAAAAGATTCATTTACGAATGATATATATTGAGCATTTTGCAGTGCCAGCCAAATTGGTGTTTTGCTCTGAGAAACTAGGGACCAATCAGGATCATTTCAAAGGCTGAGTGCTGGCCTCCTTTAGACATTTAGGGAAACTCAAATGTCTAATGTATTTTTTAAGGAATTAATAAATATTAAATTCTTAACATCTTTCCTGTCTCTGACTGCTGTCAGCATCTTGAATTCAGACCCTTGTCGTTCTATGCTATTTCCCCTTGTAATGAGATTTTCCTTCCCTTCCTATCATATAGTGACCAGTAGGGTCAGTTCCCTGAAAGTAATCCTCAGTGCCATCCCAGGACTTGAAAGAAGAGATTCTTCTCTGTATAGTCCCAGCTGGCTTTGCCAGCTTTGTAGCCTTACTCCTCGGAATCAGTCCAGTGGCTTTGTTGGTCTTAGCTACTCATCAGTATCTGAAGTTTGCACTGTTTTGGACTTCAGTGGACTTTTCAAAAACTTTCCAAGGCCTGTCAGAAGATACTCCAAATCATAGCTATATAAGAACCCTAATCTATAGTCCTCGTTAACTTCTTACCTTTCATCACCAATCTTTATATCTAAATGTCACTTCTAGTTGGTCAGGTTCTTAGAGATAAGGTTCCAGTACATAGCATGATACTTTGCATACAAAGAACTATTGCTAAATAGCTACTACTCTTAAGAACCTATTATAATTGTGCTACAATTTTGCAAAGTAAGTATTATTGTCTCTGTTTTAAATTGTGAAGAAATTCAGTATCAAAGAGATTAAGAAACTTACCCAATACATATAGTTAGTAAGTGGCAAAACTGGTTTGTCTGATTCAAAAGCTCTGGCTATTTCTTATATGCCATACTACCTTGGTGCTAAAAATAGTTAAATGAATAAAACTATTAAACAGATGTATTTATGGTAAAACACACTACTGAAACGACTCCACTTCCATTGCCATGTGCTACCTGGAGTCTTTGCTTGAGTGACCAGGCTTAGTAGCTTTGGGCTGACCGATGTGCTCCTATGCCCCTTGGAATTTCCTTCTTCATTCTTATTGTTTCTAATGCTGAAGACTTGAATAGTGTCATTTGGCTTGTTTTTGGGTCAGTGAGTAACACAGTTGAGTAGCACAAGCATAATTTGATCATTGTTTTAATTTTAAGTAGAAAATTTTACATTTCCCTAATAACCTTTACTAGTTAACTGATAAGGTGAAAATAGACTCCTTATCTTTTTTGAAGTACTTTGACTCTATTGAAGAATAAAATCCATGGGGCAAAGCAAATGAACTGTGCCAATGTTTAATATACCGCTTGATGAATTTTTATATATATATGTATACCTGTGTAACCACTAGGTCAAGATAGACAATATCATATCCATACAGAAGAGAAAATTCTCTCATGAACCACCTAGCCAATCTGTCCCTTTAGAGGCAACACTCCTCTGACTTCCATCACTGTAGTTTCACTTTATCTAAACTTTATTTTTTTTTTTTTTTTTTTTTTTATACATGCACTGGGTATAGTCAGAAGCGCGGGAGGTGAGAGAATCACCAGAGCCAGAGCAAGGGACAGAGCAGGCAGAAGGACCGAAGTACACTGCTGAGGGAGCAGCGGGCGGCAGGAGAGGTCTGCGCGCCATGTGGACCCTTTAGAGGGC